TAGGGTGCATTCTTTTATTATAGGTCCAAAGACAGATTTGCCACTGAGTCGATACGGATTTCATGTATTCCGCTTCAAGGTTTTTACCAAATTTATTTCCAGGATTCATTTGGAATGAGGATAGCAAGCATATCAGCAAGAAAGTTGGATTTATTCGACATCGCAGATGTGTGAGTCAGTCTCAAACTTCAAACGTAGAGAATTTACCTTCACACTGTTGGATAGAACAGAGGCATTTATGACACGAGGCCAAATACCATATTTTGCCAAAAGCCCAAGCAATGATGACATGTAGTGATATCTCTCATCATCCACAGCCTGTTAAAGAAGAGATCGAAACCATTCAGCATTGTTAACGTAAGCAGATTTAACTTTCTACATCAACTTTTTTTTAGCTTCAGATCATTGTCTAAACAATTTTTTCATTTCTCCCCTAACTGATGAATACCAAATAGAAGCTTTTTCTTTTTTTTCTTTTCCTTTTCTTTTCAGGTAATCTCTATGAGTTTTTGGCTTGGGTTGATACTTTCATATCTTCCCTCGTTTTGGTCAATGAATTGTTTCTTGTCTAGGGTTTCATTTTATCATCATACGCCCATAAATATACAGGTTACCAGAGTTGAGTGACCGATTACAATAAGTACAAAGTCCCATAAAGGGTATCAAATGGAAGTTACTTGGGAAAAAAACTAAAACGTACCTTCAATTCATTAGTCAATTTTAAGTTCACTTCAAGATCCCCCTTTCTGTATCCCAACTCATTGTAGGCAGAAGTAAGGGCTTCGGTTTGCTTCTCATCAATTGCCTGTTACAAAATGAAAAAAAGATATGTTATCTGAATCAAAATGTAAAGAAACGACAGCATGAGGAGAAAACTGAAAACAGTAGGCCGTACAACTATATCCAAGAACAAAGACGAACCATTCTTATGTCTGAAAATTTCCTCTCCAGTGCACATTTCTCCTTCAACAGTTGCAATTCCTTTCACCACAGAGATTTTTTGTGTAAGGTATAGCGATATCACATGAACCCGGAGTCATCTAAGCAATTTATACCTTCAAACAAGCAACTGCAATTTGTTGACGAAGAAGCTGAATCTCCCCTTCCTGTGCTCTAACCCGTGACAACAGTTCCTATGTACAACTTTAAAAACTATAAGATGTTGTAGACAGCTTAAATTCAGAACCCGAGAAATTTGTACACAGAAGGCCATACCTCAGCTTCTTGGTCTGGATGAGTACTGTCATTTACAACTCCTTTCAGATCATTTGAACCAAGAGATCTTTCAAAGGTTTGCCTGCAAAAATAATTGTATTAGTTTCGTAATAACCACAAGTTATAAAATAAATAAATAAATAAACTCAGCACAGTCGCCAGAAAACGCGAGAATTCCGGAAAATTGTGAGATCTCACATCGATTGGGGAGGAGAACGGAACACCCTTTATAAGGGTGTGAAAACCTTTCCCTAGCAGACACGTTTTAAAAATCTTGAGGGGAATCCTGAAACAGAAAGCCCAAAGAGGACAATATCTGCTAACGGTGGGCTTAGGCTGTTACAAATGGCATCAGAGCTAGACGGGCGATATGTCAGCGAAGAGGCTTAGCCCCGAAGGGGAGTGGACACAGGTGGTGTGTCAGCAAGGACTCTAGGCCCTGAAGGGGATGGATTGGGGGGTCCCACATCGATTGAAGAAGGGAACAAGTGCTAGCGAGGACGTTGAGCCTCGAAGGGGGGTGGATTGTGAGATCCCACATCGGTTGGGGAAGAGAACAAAATACTCTTTATAAGGGTGTGGAAACCTCTCCCTAGCAGACGCGTTTTATAAACTTAGAGGGGAATCCTGAAACGGAAAGCCCAAACATGACAATATCTGCTAGCAGAGGGCTTGGACTATTACAAGTTTAATCCTTACTAGAGAATGATGATGATGGTATAGACTGGGAGCTGCTATTTAACCCATTAACCAAACTAATTTCTCTGATGACCCCTCCTTAAATAATCTGTAGAGAGTGGGTTAAGACAACTAAAAATAACAAGCTAAAACCTATCCAGAACTAAACCACAATATTATTCTCATTGATTTTTGTAGTGAGCAAAAAATCTGCAAACCTACTATGAAAATAATTCGAGTTATCACCTTTTCTTTAGATGGGATCTTGCAGCATGAACCTTGTTATCATTATGCCCTTGCAAAGAGCTATGGGTAGTCGACATCAGATCGGAAGTTCAAGTTCTTTACTTTGACAACTTCTGATTGCATCAGCACAAACATTATCCATCACTTCAGAATCTTGCACTCTACATCATTTGTCCATACACCGTAGACAGCAACTTTGCACGCTTTATTCACACAACTTTCCTTCATAAGATGTATGATTACCATGCATCAAATTATAGTAACTGATGCCACACCAAAATTATAGAGCATATGTGAAAGGGCGAAACCTATCTAGAGAAATGAATGAATTTAGAAACTTCTAAAATGTGAGGAAAAACCAAAATCCAGAACACGGGAAACGGCTGGTACCTATACCCCAGTCGAAGAAAGTTCGAACAACACTTCACTAATTACTCCTCACCATTTCTAATCTCTTCTCATGAAGAAATATCGTCCATATGAATCTAATGAAATACTTGTGGAATAAGTTCTAATAATAAATCTACAGAAAAATTCTGTGCATTTTGATGAATCGACAACCATATGATAAATGAGATTGACAAATGAATGAGATACTCATAAGGTTGAACATAATTAGCAAGAGGAATGAACAAGACAATTACAATTACAATTACAAGCAGGGATTGAAATGGCAAACACCTGCTAAATTTTAAAACAACTCCGAATAAAAACTCAAATGACAGATTCAAATTAGCAACCGGATAGCAAAAGATCAGAAAGCAAATCAAAGTTATACGTCCTTCTCTCCTAATCTCCTAACCCCGCTAGCTCATAAGTTATAACCAATCCAACCAGAAAAAACTATGGCGGCAAAAGCTGCAAATGGATAAACAAAGCTCATATCGGATGCATCTTCACATAACTAAAAACAAACAAACCATCTGTATTTTCATCAAGGTGCTGATTCGAATCCTAAAATTGGCTTCAAATCAAAATCCAAAACTAAAAAACAAAGGACGACAGAAAATCTTCCCCGTCACATCAAGAAACATCAACTCAAACAAAAACTTGAACAAATCTAACAAAAAAATGTCCATATTCGTAACATGGATTGATTGATGAGACATTAATTAACAGAAAAACGAAAAGCAAATGAAGTACGCAAATGATGTTAAACAATACCGAAAAGATGTCGCGCTGGAATTCTTTGGGAGATGCGAGCGAGAAATATTGACAAATCGAGCTGCTTAAAGAGCCAAAAACAGTATGAATGGCGAAAGAAGAGAGGTGTGGAAGTCAAATGAGTGATGGATTAGTTAAGGAGAATGAAGACGAAGCTGATGAATTGCACCACGTATGATCTGCAATTTTTTCGTTTTTTTTTTCCTTCATATGTTAAAAAAATGGAAAATTTAGTATTAAAAATTATAATTTAATTTCTATAATTTTAAAAAATTCTCAATTTAGATTCGATATTTTAAATTATAAATAGTAAAAATTTATAATTTTTAAAATTAATAAAAATATCTTTATAAACTTTTAAAATTTTAAATAATACATTAAAATATATATATATATAAAGTTTAATAAACGGTCAGTGGACAAGCTAACATTAAAAAATTTAGAGATAATCTATGAGAAGTAGACAAACAAAGTAAAATTTGTTAATTGCATTTTTAAAAATTAATAAAAATTATGTAATGACATTTTTATTTATTTTTATTAAGTTAAACTATATTAATTAATTTTTTAGTTAAAATAATATTTAAAAAATAAGAACGTATTTATACTTTTTAAAGTTTATAAATATTTTTATTATTAACTCTTCTTCCATTAAAGATGGTTGTTGTTGTTTAATTAATTTCAATAAAATTTAATTTCGATTATTTTTAAATTTTTTTTTCAATATATTTACTAAAATCAGAAAGAAAAAAACATATTCTAAAATATAATGAAAACCAAATTACATTTCTAAAATAATATTTTAAAAATTATAGTTTGGTGACAGATTCAAAGTCAAAGTCAAAGTCAAGTCTCATTAACTTATATATATATATTTTCTATTAAAGTTGAAAAAATTATTTTATTGTCCTTTATATTATTTATTTTGGTATTCCTTTTTTTCTTATGATTAAATTTATATTTTTTTTTTAAAAATGATTATGATAATAATCAATAAATTCTAAGTAATGTTGTTAGTTGCAAAGTTAGGTACATGTAACTGCTCCTAGCAGATATTGTATTTTTTTGACTTTTCAGGCTTCCCTTCAAAACTTTAAAACACGTATGCTAGAGAAAGGTTTTCACACGAATATAAAAAATGTTTATTCTCTTTCCCAACTAATGTGAGACATCACAGTACATTTATACATTTACCATGAAAAAAATTGAATTTTTTTTAAATATATATTATCAATTAATACAGAAGTTTAAATTATTTATCTTAATTAAATTAATAGATATATAATTTAATAATATTATATATATTAAAAAAAACTATCATATAATTTATATTATTATTATATATATATATTTTGAAGGTTAAAAGACGATAGTGCTCTTTAAAAAAGTTTATGGGTATTTTTAAATCCAACTGTTCGAGTATTTTTTTTTAATTTTTAATTTAAACAAATTGATAACAATTTATATTAAAAAAATAACTATAGAAATATTTTTTATTTTTTAAAAAAGTTATTATTGAAAAATTTAAAATATGAAATACAGTCTTTTTTATCATAAAAAAATTAAAGAATTTTTTGTCCAATCTTCCTTTTTCCCGGCAAATTCTATTCCAAATTCTTTAAATTAAAAAATAAAAACAAAATTTTAAAATAATAATAATAATAATAATGGTAATGGAGCAGGACGCCGGCGGCCCCATTCGCCATTTCCCATGTTGGGAGAATCAAAATGCAAAATGCTGAAGAAATCATCTCGTACTAATTTCTATCAATTTGTTAGCTCCCTCTTGAATTTGGGCTCTCTCCATTTTTTTCCTCTCAGGTTTGTTTCTGCCGCATGAATCGCTGAAGAAATCTTCTGATACTGATCTCTACAGCTTCGGGACGACGAAATCAAAGCAGTAAGGAGTGTAGTTCTTGAAATTGAAATTTTTTCGTAGCTGCATTAAGGGAAGTTTGATGAAGAGCGATTATATTTGAATTCAAGATAGTCGACAAATTATCGTTATACATATTCCATAATCTGTAGTTTATTCTTTAATCGATCTTATTTGAAGATCCTGTTCTGTTGCAGTTATTTGTAAATTTTATTTTTATTTTCCTTTTCCCTAAATTTGGAATTCGTTTGATTGGATTTGAAATCCGGCGATGTACTATCCGCAACCGCCGCCGATGCTGGTGAACTGCTCCAGTTGCCGGACTCCTCTCCAGCTCCCGCCGGGAGCTTCGTCGATTCGCTGCGCTATATGCAGGGCGGTGACGCAGGTCATGGACCCACGCTCCGTCCCTCCACCGTCGTCTTATCAAGCGCCTCCGCCGGCACCGTCGCCTTATAACCACGCGCCGCCGGGACCTCCTGCCCATCCGCATGGCCGTAAAAGGGCTGTGATCTGTGGGATCTCTTATAGGTACTCGAGACATGAGCTCAAGGGTTGCCTCAACGACGCTAAGTGTATGCGTTATCTTTTGATCAATAAATTCCGTTTTCCAGAAGATTCTATCCTCATGCTTACAGGTATTTTTGCCCAACTCTCTCTTAATCTCTGTAGTTCATCATGAGATATACAGTGTATTGCATGTTGATCTTCAACGTTTTAATTTTTATGGAATACTAGAACTGTCTTGTTCTTGGTACTTCTGATGGGTTCGTTCTGATAGGAAATGTTCGAATGGGAACTTTTGTTTGCATGTATTGGGAAGAATTAGGAGCCCCAAAGGGCGGCGCATTGGCTGGGGTTCCCTGTTTTAGGCTCGCAGTCTTTGAGTTACTCAAACCTAGAGGTCACGTTTTTAATCTTAGGTTGAGCTTAATAAAGAACAACTTTGATGTCCCCAAAGATGGGCTATGGGGTGGGTGTGGTCTTAATTGAAAGAAAGAATATTGGGAAGAATCAGAGATTTCATTTTCACTTGTGTGTTTGGACCTCTCTACGGTCATGTTGTTGAATGCTGAGGTATAATTTCTATCTTCTTAGCCTTGCACCGTTTATTGAGTAGACAAACAAAAAACACATTATAGTGAGCAGATTTATAAGTTGAAAATGTTGAGGATGGTTGGGAGAGAGTTCCACGTTGGTTAATTTAGGGAATGATCATTGGGAGGGAGTCCTTCAAGTGTCGAACAAAGGGTGTACTTTGTTCGAAGACTCTAGAGAAGGGGTTGAGGCTGTTCGAGGGCTCCATAAGCCTCGGGGGAGGCTCTATAGTGTAGTTTGTTCGAGGGGAGAATTGTTGAGAATTGTTGGGAGGGAGTCTCACATTAGCTAGTTTAGGGAATTATCGTGATTTTATAAATAAGGAATACATCTCCATTGGTATGAGCCCTTTTGGGGAAACCAAAAGCAAAACCATGAGAGTTTATGCTCAAAGTGGACAATATTATACTATTGTGGTGGTCGTGATTCCTAACTGAAAATGGTAATATTGTGCTTTTGGGAGGAAATATCGTGGGTCGACCCTCAAAACTTAGCAGCATCATACGTGTTAAATTCCATGTTTATTGAGAGTATGTCAATTGTTAGTCTGAATGGTTGCATAAGAGGGGAACTTTGTAACTACTGGTATGTGACAAGAACTGCCTGTGTGCACCTTGGAGAGTGCTATTGTCCATTTATGATATGCCCCTGATACTGTTATGATGCTTATTTGTAAATGGGGTAGGAGACTAACTGCCAAGTAGTTTGAAGAATTTTGGGGCCTCTGTAACTGATCTCGCATGAGAGAGCGACATCGGAAGTATTCGGTTGGAGAGGGAAACGAAACATTTCTTATAAAGGTGTGAAAACCTCTTTTTAGCATATACTTTTTAAAACCATGAGGCCGACGACAATACGTAACGAGCTAAAATAAACAATATCTGTTAGTGGTGAGTTTGGGCTGATACATTTCATGTCCTAGATATTTACAACATGACGTATCACCATGTCGGTGTCATGTTGTATTCTTGTCTCGTATCTGTGTATCCGTGCTTGTTAGGGACAAATCAGATTTATCCAGTTTTCTATTCATATTGGAAGATTCTCTTTCATGCCATTCCAATGTTTATGATCTTTGTATGATAGCATATCTCTAGTTTACTTACGTTCATTCTGGAAAATTATATGCAGAAGAAGAAACTGACCCCTACAGAATTCCCTACAAAAACAACATTAGAATGGCATTGTATTGGCTAGTTCAAGGTTGTCAACCAGGTGACTCCTTGGTTTTCCATTATTCTGGTCACGGATCTCGCCAAAGGAACTATAATGGCGATGAAGTTGATGGATATGATGAAACACTTTGCCCTTTGGACTTTGAAACTCAGGGAATGATCATTGATGATGAAATTAATACGGCAATTGTTAGACCTCTTCCTCAAGGTGTAAAGCTTCATGCATTCATAGATGCTTGCCATAGTGGAACCGTACTAGATTTGTCATTTCTATGCAGAATGAGCAGGTTGGTATTGCATAATTATGTTTATGCTTTTTAGCTGAAAGTAATATGAGACGTCGATGTTGCTCTCATGGAAGTTTCGAGCATATCGATAGTCATAACTATTCAAAAGGTCTAGATATGATAGAAAATAGTAGCAAATGTTGTTATCATTTCTATGCAGAATGAGCAGGTTGGCATTGCATAAATATGCTTATGCTTTTTAGCTGAAAGTAATATGAGACGTCGATGTTGCTCTCACCGAAGGTTTGAGCATATCGATAGTCATAACCGTTCAAAAGGTCTAGATATGATAGAAAATAGTAGCAAATGTTATCATTTCTATGCAGAATGAGCAGGTTGGTATTGCATATGTATGTTAACGCTTTTTAGTTGAAAGTGATATGAGACGTCGATGTTGCTCTCACCGAAGGTTTGAGCATATCGATAATCATAACTATCCAAAAGATCTAGATATGATGGAAAATAGTAGCAAATGTTGTTATCATTTCTATGCAGAAAGAGCAGGTTAGTATTGCATAAATATGTTAACGCTTTTTAGTTGAAAGTAATATGAGACGTCGATGTTGCTCTCACCCAAGGTTCGAGCATATCGATAGTCAAATAGCAGCAAATGTTGTTACTCCTGGATTCAGCTTTTCATTTATTGTTTTTCCCCTTTGTTCATAGGAGTGGACAATACAAATGGGAGGACCATCGCCCGCGATCTGGAGTATGGAAAGGAACGAGTGGTGGAGAAGTTGTATCTTTCAGTGGCTGTGATGATAACCAGACCTCTGCTGATACATCTGTAAGTCACACTACATTTCATAATCCACAATTCTTTTGATCCCAATCGCGTTGCTTTAATGTCAAGCTAATTACTTGAACTGGCACAGGCTCTGTCAAAGATAACATCAACAGGTGCCATGACTTTCTGCTTCATCCAAGCGATCGAGCTCGGACATGGAGCTACATATGGGAGCATACTGAACTCGATGCGAAATGCTATAAAAAATGCAGGAGTCGGTGGCGACATTGGTGGCGGTATTGTGACGTCGCTGGTCACCATGCTTTTGACTGGTGGGAGTGCCATAGGTGGGCTCGGACAGGTACTTCAGTTTTCATGGTAGATCATCTGGTTCTGTAAGAGTTCCATGTTTGAGGTTGCATGAATGCATACAATCTAACCAAACACCATAATAGTATGTTGTTATTAAGCAGTTTAGTTCAAATCTCATTTGAGTTGAATTGCTTCTAATCGTTGGGTATTTGCAGGAGCCACAATTAACTGCGTGTCAACCGTTCGATGTTTATACGAAACCTTTCTCTCTGTGATTTCCTTTCAACCGTTCGATGTCTATACGAAACCTTTCTCTCTGTAATTTCCTTTTCCTTGATTGACTTACAAGAGGATGGTTGAAGGTTACATTTGGAGGGCTATGTCGGCCTATTTTCTCTATTTAATATATGGTCGTAAATAAGGCAATTCAATCGATCACTCGAGAAGCCCTCGATGAACTGCCTATAGTTTGATATATACTCTCATAAAAAAAAAAAAACAGATTTGAAAGTAGGGCTATTATGAGGAAGAATCGTAATTCTTGAAACCTTGCGTGGCATCTCCCAATCTACCATGGATTGCTCAAGAATGCGTGATTTGATAATAAGTTGTCGATCAAACAATCTTTATAAAAAATTTACTTTTATTAAGTACTTATTAGACGTCAAATTAAAAAAAAATTGAACTTATTTAACATTTAAAAATTCAAAAAACTTATCAACATAAAATTTAAAAGTACATAATAAATATAAACACGAAAATTTAGAAACTAAATTTGTGTAAGAGACTAATACATGAAGAACACAAAACTGTTGCTACTATTGTAAAAAAAAAAATGTGAAAAATGAGAATGGATGACAAAATTCCCATGAGCTTACTATAGCCAAGTAACTAACTATAACCTAAAATCACAACATTTTGAAAGAAGAAAAAGAAAGAAAGAAGCTAAAATCACAAATTAATGAATTCCTTCTTATCTTGATTTCACGAAGTCCTCTGTGCAAACTAAATAAATTTCTCTAATTTTGTTGGTTTGATTGGGTATGAAGGCCGAAAACTTTCCAATTGTAGATTAGAACTTTGAAGAATTTCATTCAAAAAAATCTGACCTTTCTCCAATTGAACTGCATCCAGCACGTTTCCAAGAACATCAGCTGCAAGCCCAACTTCCAAAAGACTTCCAGCCTCCTCTCCACCTTCCTGTATAAACTTCCCAATTTCTTTCAATGGAATCAAGTCTTCCCAGATCATGTTTGCCAGTAATCGTCCCATAAATTCTGGAGCTTTTGGGGCGTCGTTGACCGCATCCTCTAGAGTGGCAAGAACAAGTTGGATTCTGGTAAAATGATGCACGAGAATAAATAATCGTGTTCGAGAAAGTTGCGAGGAAGAAAAGCACGTTAAAAAATGTTTTTGGTCCCTAAACTTTAATATGTAGCAATTTGGTCTCTGTCGAACAAAATATTGTTAAGGTTTAATGAGATTTCTTATACATCCAGATCGATAAATTGATTAGAGACTACATATGCTTACAAACTATAAAGAATATGTAACAAAATTTGATGATTTCGATGATTTTCTATGGTAGAAATATAATTATTTCTTTTAAGGAATGAATGTACCATCCATAAGAGTATAAAGATTCAGAATATTTACCCTTCGACAAGTTGGCGTTGAGTCAATGTACCATCCTGTGATTTGGTGAGGCTAACAAGAAGCTTAGCTAAAAGGTCCCTTTCTTTGTTTTCTCTCTCAAATGAGTCTGTGACCCAAAGAGAAATCATGGATGAGTGAAATCCAGGCGAATTCAAGTCCTTGATGCACAGAGTAACTTCTTTCTCATCCCGAGCACTGAAAGCAAAATTGATTTACTTTTTACTCAGAACAACCAGAAAATTAAACAACAATAAACAGTATAACATATGTTTGGATGGATATTCGTGATTCAAGAAACTTTCCATGCAAATTGGATCAAGAACTTGAAACAATATGAGATAGTACCTGTAATATTCCCTAATCGCTGCTATGGACTTGTATCGTAGACGTTCTTTGGACATAACTTCAGAATGACCGTTTGGTGTCGAAGCTGGCTGTTCACATTTGATTGACTGAGAGCTTCCGAGGCTGCTATCAATGTTTGCCAATTGCTTATATCCATTGGCAATACCAGGTTCCTGTGACAAATTTCTTGAAGGGGTGTCTCCTTTGGAGATGGAACTTAAAGCAGCTGTCATTCTGTGTGTGTTATTATCAGTCGGTAATGGAGTGGATGAAACGGATCGTGGCCCTTTAATGGACATTCCTCTAGCTAAATGACCCTGGGGACCCAAAGTCATAGCATCATCACTAATAAGTCTTCGGGGCAATGGACTTGGGAATGCCTTGGCCTCAAAACGAGTGTCTTGAATGCTTGAACCACAAACCGGGGGTGTCGAACCATGAAAACCACCAGCCTGAGCATTAGGAGAAGGCAATAGTGCAGACGCTCTAGAGCCAAAATCCATGGATGTTCCTCTCAATGATGCATTGATTCTAGGACCACGGCCTAATCTACTCGTTTGAGCTTGACGTTCTTGAACGGCATCTCGGTGCACTTCATTAATTTTTTTAGGCCCTTCAACTTTTCTCCTAAGTTGCCATTTATTCTTTCTCAAATCAATTGTATCCTTCAACAAGAATCTAACCCTGGATGACAGCTTCATGTTGTTAGATAATTTAGTGATCATCTCAAAATATGCATCCATGTGCTCCTTAGCTTTGGGGTGATCTATCATATCTCCTATGGTGCTCATCAATTTGCACAGTGCTTCAATATCTTCCTCATCAGGATTTTGATATTGACCCAACAATTGCCTGATGCATACATGCATGATTTTCTCTGTTATCATCTTCTTTTTGTAAAGCTCTCCAATTAATCTGATGTTGCCTAGCATTCTTCTGCGGGCCTTTATTCTCTTCTCCTCTTGTTCCTCCGCAGGCTGTTTCATCTCACTGACTTTGTTGACTTCATCATTTTCTTCCTGCTCTCTCTCAAATTCCTCCTGGCACTTGTTTAAAAGCAACCTCTTAAAGGTAATCTTCTGATTATCATCGCTGAAATCGGGTAACTCATCAGCGAGATGAAGACAAAAATCGGCGTACATTTCACAGAAAGTAGGCTCCATCAAAGCTTTGTCAAAGATCTGATTGATGACGCCAATTAGTGTCTTAGAACTATCAATATTAACAGCTTTCACTTGTTCAAATAGTTTTTCAAAATTTTGTGGAGTTAGCTTGTTTAGTATAGCCTTCAGCTGCCTTTGTTTGGTCTCTTCCTCGTCAGCCACTTTACCCACTTCATACTTCTTCTCGGCTCTGTGCATCATCTGTAATGGTGTTGGAGGAGAAACTAAACCTTTCAGATGAAAATTAGTATCTCTTTGCCACCTATCAGCATTGGAATCATTTCTCTGAATCTTTCCCTGAGAGCCAATGTGTGCCCTCGGATTCTTTAAAGCGCCATTGATAGTCCATTGCGTAGGTCGACCGCTATCCAGGTGTGAATCCCGCCCTGAAGCAAATAGTCTGTCATCAACAATAGCATGATGGTCTAGTCGAGCCCCTCCACTTGGCTTATCCATTATTTCAAGATTAGCAAATGTCTTACTGTTAACAGAGCGAGAACCGTGGTTAATACTCATTAAAGCCTTCGTGTTGGGAGTGGTTTCGAATCCATCAGGAAGGTCAGCGAACTGCTCTGCAAATTTTAAGAGGAAATCTCTGGAGTACTTTTTGGCCATATCTCCACCCCCACCCTCGTGGTGCAGTGCTACTTTTCCTTTTGCCTTGTCTTTAGAGCCCTCATCTTTCAATTTAACAGTAGAAACATCAACTGCATCTTCCCAATCATCTAGCTCGAGTTTACCCTCAACGTTCTTCTTGGTCAAGACAGCCTCATCCTTAATGGAACCAGCAGACTCCTGTTTCATATTTAAGCTCCCATTGGAACTTTCTGCAGACATGACAATCTCTTTCTTCTCTTCAGCATCTGCCTTACGAAGAATTTCCTTTCTCTTCTTCTTCCCTCTTTTAGACCTGTTCTTCGTCTTATTTGTATCCGTAACAGGTTTATCCTCAACAACCGGTATAAAGTTAGGATCACACTGAAAACCTGTGTGCTCTAATCTATCTCCTTCATGCTTCATCTCTGGGAGTTCAGACGTTTGAACAGGAGCAGACTGCAGATCAGCTCGGCGCATTTCAGTATTTTTGTCACCATCGCTTTGACAAGATGATGCACTAATAAGTGAAGTCTTATTTCCATGAGTTATGGAGTTAGAAAGAACGTTATTGTCCTTTGAACTGTCAACTTCTGCATGAGAACTAACAGGTTCATCCCATTTCTCCAGTGTTTTTGAGTCTGAATCGCAATTACTAACTTCTGCATAAGAACTTGCACGTTCAACACTAAAATCTGCACGGGAAACTTCATTTGAAGTAGACGAGCCTCCTCTCTCGGCAGCATTTGATTCTGAAGTTCGTATGGGCTTTCCAATATTAGGACTTTTTGCTATTGGTTGCACAGACCCTGGAGGTACAGATTTAAACAAATGGTGTTGTGCCTGCAGATAAAAACAACTGATAAGAATCAAACGAATCCAGTCGGCAAGAAAGACAAACAAGAACCGTGAGTATAGATTAATAGAATCCATAGATCACATGAACAACTGAGCATGAGAAAAAAATGCTAAAATCTAGAGCTTAGGCCAAGCATACTGAAAAACCATCCAAATGATGTAGAGATGACAATGGTGCATGGCAACAGTTGAAAAGAGTTTCTATACTGATGAAAAATTTATGGAAGCCAGAACCAAAATCACAAAAGAATATAGTCAACGAGTGCCAGAGCTACTGGGGTTACCAGTAACACACATATATAAACCAAGACAGTAGCATTCAACGCATTCTAACCTGGTTCGGTATCAGTTCTTCCGGATTTGAAGGAGCTGAGCTAGTCCTAGGAATCTGAAATACCAGAGCCCCAATCCTCATATCAGATATAATCATATAACTTATCGACTACCAGGAATTACATTTACAGATATAGTAATGATATCATCAGCATTACTAAATAATCATGGAAAGGATGGCATGCATACCTGAAAACCAGGACTTAAGGATCCAAATTGAAGTGAAAATGTTTTATGCTCTTCTCCCCAGTCTAGAACACGAAAGAAAACTGCGGTTAGCATCATCGAACCAACTAAAATAAATGTCATCGAGCACCACGACATGCCAAAACACTTATCCGTCGTAAATTTAAACATAATTATCTTACCTTTAACAGGGGTTGAGGAAGCATTGGTGTAGGAAGTTTTTGAGGTGGGTTTAGAAGTTGCATTATTTTGAACAATCCCGCTCTTGGATTCTGAAAAT